TTGTATCTTCATGCGTTCTTAAATTGTTGTTTTCTTACGTAATTAGTTGTGGTATTCGTTTTAATTGATAGTGGTGATATTCATAGTATATATTATAATTGCCTCCTACGACTTATTCTGTTGTTCTCGAAGTTCGTTGTCACTACAAGATTTTTGCTTTTATTTACATTTCATAGGGTAAATTTATATGTTAATGTTAGGTTACAAGGTTAGACTTATGATTATGCATTGCGATTGAATAGAAATGAATATATAAATTTTTTATATGTTTAAATTTATTTTACAATCAAAATTAATTTAAGTTAACCTAATTTATAGAATAAAAACGTTGCTAAAAATTCTAAAAATTTACAATTTTCTATCTTTCCTTTAACTACACAATTCATAATAACTTATATAAAAATTGTGATAACGGGACTATTTTATAGTTATTATACAATATAAAAATATTCATGTATTTAAATAATACTTATTATACCTAGTCTACTAATCCAACTGTACAGAACGTAAAAATCAGAATCAGGTTTCTATACGCGGAATAAAAAATAAACAATTAGTCTATAACAAAAAGTTGTAAATTGATGTTGCTAATCTTGCGCTTAGTAGTCAATGACAGTTAGTTTCAATATGTAATATTATTTAGTAATATGTTATTACACTATAATTTAATGTGTACTGAAATAATAAAAATGAAAATTATTAGACAGTTTGCCGTGAAAACGGCAGTTTTGTTTAAAGTTGTTAAGTGGATTATCATTAATGTTTTCTTAGCAATCAACCTGTCAATGCCTGTAACATATCTAAAAATTAATTTTCATTTTATTTAACCAACCTTAATTAATATCATGCAGTACATTGACTTATATTAAACTGTATATTTGATTAATATGATCAGAAAAATTAACAAAAACTAGTATATCAATTGCCATTCAGTTATTTTAAAAATTTTATAATGGTCATCTTGAGTTATGTGTTAGATCGACTTATGTAAGTTTATTATTTAAGTTCATTTATTAATAACGTATTTTTTGTTCAACTTAAAATACAGTATGTTTTTATCGCTGTAGTTTGATTTGTCAAATAGTAAAACTTTTATCCTTATTAAGTAGTAATGTTGTTTTTAAAGTCGTATTGAACGAACTGTAATTCGTGTTTTCTCTCTTTTTTTTTTTAAATAGACCAATCATCAGACGATGTCGGAAAAAATAACGTTGAACACGTTGGAATAAAATACAAATCAATTATAATAATAATGCTTATAGCAATAATAATTAGACTGAAATATGTCAGCTTTTATTTGACATCCAAAAATATACCATTTTTTTTATAAATATAATAAATAATAAAATTAATAACAGTTAATCGAAGTTATAAATAATTATAGTAATAATTAAAATTAATATTAAAAATATTATATTCTATTAAATGTTTAATCGTAAATTATGTAGATTTTAGTGCACACGTGATACCCACTATATGTATTAAAATACTGTAATGTATGAACATTCCATCCGATAATACTTTAATTTTCTTTAACAGAACCTTCATTTTATTTTAATGATATGAAAGAAAAAATTGTTTTTACAATTTTATTTATCCGTTGAACTTCTTTTGTTTGTTTATGTTTAGCCATTTCTGACCTAATTTTAATTGATAATTTATTATTTACCATACAGTAACCGTAATTTGTCACAAGTACAGCTCGATAATATCCACCATACTGTTAGGGGCTTAGTTTAATATTNACTCGATAATATTCACCATACATAAATATTATTTTTAATCATTTATGTATATAAATATATATATGCTCTTAAATTCAAGGCAAATTTACTGTCTTATATTGTTGAACCACCAGTGTAAAAAATTAACATGAAAAATACCATGGAAACCCAACACAGGGGGGTGTTGCACAGTGGTGACGTGGCATACTTGAATCAAGTATAATGATATCTGTCAGTGATTAAAATCACTATCAATAAAAACGCTTCGATGCAAATCTTTAGATAGTGTTTAGTTTTGAAAAATTGGTTGATTATTCCAAAAGCTACATGATATGCTATTTCTTTATTTATATCCTGATTAAGATATGACAAATTTGTAATTTTTTTGGATGTTTCCTCCATTTACGGGGAACGAGGGAATTTTTTTCAATTTTTGAGGGTAACGCCGAGGTGGCGGCCAGGCGTGAGGAGTGCGTTAGAGTCAGGAGGACTATGACGCGCTCCAACCGTTGGCCGCGGGACCCGGAATCCCCGGACCCGAGGGAGGCGCTGAGGTCGGCCCGCAAAGAGCTGAAGCTCGCCATCAGGCGGGCCAAAGCGAAATGCTGGGCCGAACTCGTGAAGTCGGTGGACCACGACCCGTGGAGGAAACCCTATCGGGTCGTTATGCGGAAGCTCCACGGTCCACCGGCTTCGGGTCAGCTGGAGGCGGAAGTGCTGGAAAGGGCGGTAGACACGCTCTTTCCGACACATCTTCCCCTGCCTCCCTCGGCGTTTGGGGACGACGTGTCGGTGGTGGAATTCACCAGCCAAGAAGTAGCTGACGCGGTGGCGCGTGTGCGGGGCCGGAACACAGCTCCCGGCCCCGACGGGATTCCAAACCGGGTGTGGGGGTTGGCCCACAACCTTGCCCCGGATTGGATACGCGCCGTCACGAACTGCTGCCTCTCGGAGGTTGAATTCCCCACGAAATGGAAGAAGGCCAGGCTGGTGCTTCTGAGAAAGGGTGACAAGCCCGAGGGTCTCCCCTCGTCGTACCGACCGCTTTGCATGTTGGACGACTTGGGGAAGATCCTCGTTCGGCTGCTCGTCACCCGGATCGAAGCCCACCTGGCCGACGTCGGCGGACTGGCCGAGGGCCAGTTCGGCTTCCAGAGGGGGAGGTCGACGGATGACGCGGCCTCCCTCTTCAGGGACTTGGCCCTCAAGGCGAAAACTGAGCAGGGTTTCGGGGTGGCGGTGAGCTTGGACATCCGAAACGCGTTCAACTCCATGCGATGGTCACACATCCTCGGAGCGCTGGACGCGTTTCGGGTGCCTCCTTACCTCGGGCGGATGATCCGGTCGTACTTTAGCGATCGGGTTATCTCTTACGAAAGCGCCGCGGGCCCGAGAATCCTACCTGTTACAGGAGGCGTCCCGCAAGGGTCAGTTCTCGGGCCTCTGCTGTGGAACATCGCGTACGACGCGGTGTTCCGCGTTCCGCTACCACCGCACGTGCGTGTCGTTTGCTACGCGGATGACACGCTGGTGGTGGCGGAAGGCGCCTCGGCCGAGGAGGCTGGATCCCGGGCAAACTGCGCGCTCAGCGCAGTCACCGCCTGGATCCAGCAGGAGGGGAGTGGACTTAGCCTCGCCCTGGACAAGACCGAAGCGGTCTTGTTCACGGGCAGGTACAAGTTCACTCCTCCACGGCTCGCCGTGCTGGGGGTGGAGATCCCGCTTAAGGACTCCATGACTTATCTGGGCCTTGTCATAGACAAACGTCTAAAGTTCGGGCCGCACATTAGTCGTGCGGCTCAGCGGGCCCAGAAAGTCATGAATTGCTTGGCGGGACTCATGCCCAATCTGGGAGGGCCGAGAGAGATGCGGCGTAGACTTTTAGTCAGCGTCGTACACTCGGTTCTCCTGTACGGGTCCCCGGTTTGGGCGGATACTCTTGAGTATTCGTCCAAAAACCGTGAAGCCCTGCTCAGGGTGCAAAGGCGGGCGGCGATCCGGACAGTTTCGGCTTACCGAACGGTGTCCGGAGTGGCGGCGGGTATCCTGTCGTCATTGCCGCCCGCCGATCTGCTCGCCGAGGAACGCGCCGCCGGGCATGAGCTCCGCCGAGAGCACAACCGGTCCCTCGAACCCGAGGACCGGCTGGCGCTCAGGCGGATGACCATGCTCCGGTGGCGGACTCGCCTCTCGGAGGAAACGACGAGAGGCGAGTGGACCAGGTCCCTCATAGGACCCGATCGGCTGGACAGGTGGGTGGACCGGACTCACGGTGAGATGACTTATCGACTCACCCAAGTGATGTCCGGCCACGGCTGCTTTAACGAGTACTTACACCGTATTCGTAAAGCAGCCGCACCGACGTGCGACCACTGTTCGGATCGCCCGGGAGAGGCTGATAG